AGTTCAAAGCATGCTTGGTTACTATATCACTCAGGATTTCAGAAATGTTCATCTTTGCCTGTGTCCAATTTCTTAACCGAATAATGTTGAGAATGCATTACACAATATTTTTCCACAGTGATTTTGTTTTATTATGTTTGTTTACACCCAGTTGGTTCCTGAAACACAGTCACTAAAGAGTAAATTTCTAGGCTACCTGACTTTATTCCTTTACCATGTTGCTTTTTATTTTTATCATTATCATTATCATTGCTGATAACTTTATAATACTGCTATTAATGTCCCCTTCAAAGAGAAAGAGAAAGAAAAAGAGGAGGAGGAGGAGGAGGAGGAGAAGGAAGAAGAAATGTGGCAAGTTAATGAATGACTCCTTGGTGACTAAGAATTTGTGAAGCCAAATTTGTAAAAAAATAAATAATTAAAACAAAATGACAGTGGACAGTGCATAAATGTACTAATGGATCAATTACTTTACTTCTCTTCATAAAGACTGATAAATGCAAATCTCTAATGCATAAGCAACCCACCATATACAGAATAAATCTATCTGATGACACAACAGTCCCGAAAATCTCTGGGATTTCATCTTTTATTCTAGAGATGCCTGATTTAGAAACTGTTGTCTCATGTCTTTCTATAAATCTACAGTACACCATGTTTTATCTGGTATTCCATACATATTTTTTAAGTGATTAATTATTTTCAAAAATATATATTTATAAAAATGTAAATGCATTATTCTTTCAATTTTCTTACCACTACTCTTGGGTGAAAATACATGCATTTGCAACCACAGAATGAACAAGAAATAATAATGAAGGAAATCATACCCTGTTACCAAATACTGAACTGAGAATAATATCCTTTTTCATTAAAAATTCACTTTAAAAAGGGATACCAAGCAAGCAGAGAAAAGTTGCATGTAGGCTAGCCCCTTATATCATAATTTCAAAATCAAGAAGCGATATTAAACCAGATGGACCTTTTCCTCTTGACTATAAAAGGGATAATCTGTGCCTACCAATTCCTTTACCAGAAAGAAAACCTCTCTGTACGCCACTTAAAGATTCGTGAATAAGAAAGTCCAACCACCGAGATACGTAATATCACAACCATATCCCATTGTGAAAATACTTACCATAAATTTTCCAAGGAGAAGCAGCATTGAAGAAAGAGCACATTAGCAATGATATACTATAATGTATATAAATCAGAAAAAAATGTGTATATATACATCATGGTGCCCACTATTTGCAAGAATAAAAATATCCAGGTCTCCTCTTTTCTCATTGACAAAATACAGATCTGTACATGTAAATATTTATATACACTATCTTAACAAATAATATGAACCCCATTGACATGTTTCTCATATAATGAATAACTGAAGCGCTACTTGAAGTACAGAAAATATAATGGTTCCAATGTATTTTCTGGTGAGTCAAAAAAGTATATACTCACAAAAAACATAATTTCCACGTGTTATATTTCTGTTGTAAAATCATGGGATAATGTCATAAACAGGTCCAGTATTACTTAAGAAAGAAGAAAAAAAATCTAACTGCTATTAACTCTAAATTCCTGAATAATACTTTAGCAACAATATATACAACTGTTTAATCAATAGCACATCTATTGTATTTCAGCATCAGTATCAGCAAAAACAAGCATTTTACTTTGAGGCGATTCCTCCATATTCACTCCATGAACAGCAACTACATGGCTAATATCACATAGAATTCATAAAAACACTCACCGAGAGGCATTTTATGTGTAAATATTTCAAAAGACCAATAATCTGAGAATAAAATTATATATACATAATGTGAACATACTTTCATTCTCCAGGTTTCTAATCAACTAAGGAGCATAGATATATTTTGACCAAAGTGCATAATGTTCCCTGCAAATAATTCGCAAACACAAAAGGATTAGACAGAAAGTTACTTGTTATTTGTAAGCTTTATCTACCCACCCATAACAAATAAATATTGTAGAAAGAACTATGGATCACCACCACAACCAATGACAACATCTTAATGTGAAAAATCTGGCAGCAAAAACATAACTTTTTGAGTTGAAAAGAATCTAGGAGGAACTGCCAGGACTTGAAACTTTATGGGAGCAACACAGAATTTGACAAATAACCAAAAAATCTTTCTGAACTATCAAAGCATCCGTGCTGATATCCAATGACCGAAGCTCCTCCAAAATCACACTAATGTCTAATGCGCTGCCAGGATCAGGCAATGGGGGAAAACTGGGTTAAAAACATAATACAAAACCAAGCAAATAAATATGAAGACCCGAATTCTTTAAAAAAAATGCATTTGACTGGTTAGTATTAATGAATCCCCTGGGTGTCTTTGTATGATATAAGGCTTCAAGAAACTTTGACTAGTGATCTCTATTTTTGTTGCTATGTACTATGTAGACTTTGTTACAATTTGCAAAACAGAAATATTGATATGATGTGTTTAAATGTCTTGATTTTCAATATCCAAGACAACTCATAAAGTGGGTAAATATAATTAGCAATAATAATTAATAATCATAATAACAATCAAATTATGAAGATGATGGTGATGATGATTACAACTATGATACTAATAATGAAAACAATGATGATGATAACAATGATAATGAATAAAATATAATAATAATATATAATAAATAATAATAATAATAATAATAATAATATTAATAATAATAGCAATAATAATAATAATAATAATAAATAATAATAATAATAATAATAATATAAATAACTACAAATAATAACAGTAAAATAAAAATAACAATAATAATAATAATAATAATAATAATAATGAAGTACAACAATAATCATAATAATAACAACATAATAAAATAAAAATAATATCCATAATAACAAAAAGGCAATACAAATATTTTAATAATAATAATGATAATGATGATAATAACAATAATAATAATATAATAATAATAATAATAATAATAATAGCAAAAATAATAATATCATAATAATAGTAATAATAGTAGTGAAAACAATAATTGTAGTAGTAATGATAAGGAAAATACAATAAACAAAAATCATAATAATGATAAAGATAATATTGATAATGATAACAATATAACAACATGGCTGAAAAAAATACTACAATAACATGAATGACATTGACAAAAAGAAAAAAAAGAAAAAAAAAAAAAAAAAAAAAAAAAATCTTTTAGCCTCCCTTCTCACAAAGATATCACTACATCACAAAAACGTGAAATGTTAAATGAAGATGCAATTTTTTGTTGCTATGAATTTATTCCACATGACTGCAAGATAATGAGTTATAAGAAGAATGCAAATGGCAACAATTACTGCAAGTTAAATCCTGCATGCAAACATACATACATATATCAATTCACATGAACATAATATTAGTGAAAAGCAAACCGAGAGAAAGAAAGTGAGAAGGGAGAGGGAGAGAGGGAGGGAGGGAGAGAGGGAGGGAGGGAGGAGGGAGGGAGGAAGAGAGGGAGGGAGGGAGGGAGGGAGGGAGGGAGGGAGGGAGGGGAGGAGAGAGAGAGGAGAGGGAGGAGGAGGGAGAGGGGGAGGGGAGGGGGAGAGGGAGGGAGGAGAGGGAGGAAGGGGAGGGATGAGAGAGGAAAAGGGTAAGTGAGAGGGGGAGAAAGGAGGAGAGAGAGAGAGAGAAGGCAGAAGATAGACAAAAGGAGAGAAAGAGGAGGAAAGGGGAGGACAGACAGAGAGCCGCATAGTTCTTACAATAAAATCATATAATCACAATGCATATCATTTTTGTTTTGTTTTATCTTGTGTACACCAATTTTTTTAAAGCAAATAAGTTAATCAAACATACAGATTACTTAAATGTCAAAGCCAGTTGTTTGCGTTTCATTGTGCTTTAGTGAAACATTCACATTTCGTTTGCTTATGCTATCAAAAACTTTAAAAGCATATTGGTGTACCCATTAAAGCCGTTATCATTCATTATAACATCTTCAAGCATAATGATTCAAGCAAATAACAGATACATCTGTGATATAAAAGTGAAACAGCAATGAAAAAAATTCCTAGCAGAATACAAAATCAATAAAATAAACACAGTATAAAAAAGGAGAGAGAAAAAGGAAAAAAATATATAGTACATGCTATTACCATGCACTACAGATATGTATAAGAATAAGTTAAACAGAACTGTTGAAAACTCTTCTCTTTACTGTTATTCCAACAGTCTCATCACAATTTATGTTTTAAACATAACTCCTTCAGGAACCTCCTCATTTTCTTACAGTCTGTCATGTCCAGAAAGATTTCATGCATTTTCTTGTACTTTGAAGTTTCATGTCTTATATCTTAAAAAAAAAATAAAAATAAAATGGTACGAGAACACTGTGCTGGTTTGCATTTACACACCTTCTAATAGATCTTCAACCGCCATTCGTACGCCTTTGTCAAATGCTCGAGCATCGGCGGCTGTTTGAAAGGTTAGTCCGAACTTTTTGTCTCCTGTCTTCCAGTGGTGAAAGGTAGGCATGACTTTGTTGTATTCAAAATCTTTCTTTATTGTACAACTCAACACTACCTGTAGGCAGATAAAAAAAAGATGTAATTAATAACAATTTTTCTACAAAATTTAATTTCATATCTTGTAAACATGTAAATAAGCTCATGACAATGGGCTATACTTCCTTAAAACAAAGAAGAAAATACTTTTAAAAAATCCTTAATCACACATGTTAATCACATGATATTGATCAAATATCTAACATCTAATTCCTTCTCTTGCAGTTGATAAGCTCTAACAGTCAGAGGAATCGCACAACACACTTCACAATACTTACTGATTGATCGGATAATCTCTTCCCATAGATAAGATACTCATGTTTGGAGTCGTCAAGGTCGGGTTGGGTGACACGTTTCCGGACAGACACATTGGAGAGGCCACCCCCACCCATGGGCAGCCAACCCCCAGTGCTGTCATCACGCATCATCACCTGAGCACGCACTCGAACCAAGTAGTTGCCGCTGAAAGAGGGGAGGCTGCATTAGAAACAAGAATGTAAAAATTATGGTGCTTGCAAACATCTTACACTTACACAAAGACAACTGTCAATTCAATTGAAATGACTTGCAAACAAAATACACACCAACAACATAGAAGTATAGAAATGAAGACATACAGATGCCTAAATTCTGACTGAACTAATAAATAAACTTTGAAAAAAAAAAGGGGTCATTCACAAAAGTAAATGCCGAGAACACCTATACTGGAGCTTTCAACTGATTCTTTCAGCAGCATGCAGTGTCTGGTAAAATGGACTGTGAATTCTGACTTTTCAAAATGCTAAAACGGATTATCATAGACAACTTGACATTAGCATAAAATATATAAAAATCCATATAAAGGGCTCAATGTTGGCAATCCCTTATTTCAACTATCGCAAATTTATTGAAATGCTAAAAATGTAGTTCATGTGATGTTTCGCACTAATAGCTTTTGCACCAAGACACTTTCACTCAAATTCAAGGGCCTTCACTCCAGAAACACGCCAATTTCAACTCACTCTATTCAGCTTTTCATCAATTTACTATGCTTTTTATATTAAACCATACTGAAGTACATTTCACTTGCAAATTATGACCCAAAGGATATCATAAAACAAATGATTTATAATCACATTTTTTTCTGGTACAGTATAGTGCAAGCCGCTGTCTGTCCTGTATCATTCCCCAGGAAAATGTAGTATAAGCCACATTTTGTGACATAATATCTCACACAGTTATATTTTGCAAATTAATTGTACTCATTTGCTATTCCTCAAGAAGCTTAGTAGTCTAAATAAAAATAAAAGTTGAACTGCAGGATTAGAAAGTCCACATAGTATATCCGGAGTCAACACCCAACACTTAGAGATAAAATACCGTAAAGTAACTCCAAAATTCTATGCACCAAAAGACTCAACATTAAATTTCTGGCAACATATACTGTCCAGTGTATCACCCAAATATTGAAAATAGCTTCATCTACTATCTGAGTATCATTTAATTCTGACAAAAACAAACCTATCAAAATACTAAAAAGAGGGATAAAAACAAAGTTCTTGCTTTTTGATCTATGTATCAAAATCAAATGTTTTTTTCAAATTACTTGAATGTGTCTTCACTATCAGTGATATCATGCTGGTCATATATGATTCCAACTTGATCACATATTTTGATATTTTTGAAAAACTTTGATTTGGGAAAGTGGATCATATCTTATTTTGAGAATCTCAACCCTTTAAAATCAAGCTGACCTTAGCATTAGGCATGACACATCATAAAATCTATTGAAATGCTAAATCATGATTAATTCAAGCCATCTGTTAGTCTAATTCTAACTGAATCAATTTCATTGAAATACTAAAAAGGTTAACCCTATGTACAACTTTGATATCTATGCATCTGCCAGTATTCATGGCATATCATTTTTAGAAAAGTAATTATTGACAACTTGATGAAATGTTTCACTCTGACAAATCATAAAATGGCATGAATTGAATTTTTATTGACAGCCTCCTGTACATTATCAACATAGTGTGTATATATAATGTATAAATATTCTAGTCAATTCCACACCAATCAAATTTGCACATCAACGTTTCAGCACTTATGATGATCGAAAAAACACTCAAAATGCTCGGCAAACCCTTAAGAAAACCTCCTTTTCCCCCCAACAAAAACACTAAAATACATAAAAAATACACTCCAAATACCGAACCCACCTGCCACTGGACGAGAGTCTGAACCAACGCACCATTCTGCCTCCACAACTTTGGTCTTTATTCATATTACTTAAAACGATCTTATGACTTGACTCTTGACTCAACTCTCCCACACCGGGAAAATTCAACGCACTTGACCTCAAGCGGATTTTTAATAAAGAGTATCACTTTGCACACGACACAAATACACATATAACAGTCACACATAAATATTTCTCTTTAAATATATCACAGTCATTCCTCACTGGTTATTGAGAGTGTACTGTCGAGTTTGGTCTCTCTGTATCACAAGTATAACATCAATATCATATCTCACTTTATTATAATGCGCAATGTTGCTTTGGGTTTCTCTCTCTCTCTCTCTCTCTCACTGTATTTATAATCTATGTTTTAGTGAAGGAAGTGACGTCGTCTCGACCTCTGCCTCCCTCTTTGTACTTCCTGAGTCTTCCTCACTGTATCTCCGACTGCAAGGTCGACCTTGAGTCCTCTTCACTGTATCCCGAGTACAAGATCGACCTGCGCCTCTCGCAATGTACTTCACGACTTTTCCTCACTGTATCCCACGTACGAGCTCCACCTCGTTTCTTCCTCACTGTATTCCAAGTCCGAGCTCCACCTCGAGTCCTTCCTCGCCGTACCCTTCGCACACCCGAGTCGTCCCGAATCTCTCCCCCTCGAGCCCCCGACGCGCACCAAGAACGACCTCAAAGCCACGACCCGGAGCAAGGAGCGCTGACCACCTCCTCCTCCGTCGAGCACCTTACAAGCACAAAGGAAGTTCCCGGAGCCCGACAACACAAAACCGGAAGTGCTTAACTAGCGGAGGAAATGCCCGGATGCCCGTGGGCGGAAGCGGCGGCGGCGGCGGCGAACGGCTGCCCGAGATGGGGGTGATAGGGTGGGGAAGGGCCGATAGTGAGGGTAAGGGGGCGATAGTGAGGGTAAGGGCCGATAGTGAGGGTGAGGGGGCGACAGTGAGGGTAATATTGCGGGTGTGGAGGATGATGGTTATGGCGAAGGCGAGGGATAATGGTGAGGTGGTGGTGAAAATGATGGTGCGGGCAATAGTTGATGGTGATAGTAACGGTTCATGATGGCGAGAGTGGTCGTTGGCGGTAAAACTGATGGTGATAAGAGTGGGTGATGGAGAACGGGAGGGAGATGGAGATAATGATGGTGAGAAAGATGGTGGGTCGTCCACGCCCTGTTCCGTGCCCAGCTATAACCGACTCACATTCTCTGTCTCTATCTGTCTGTCTGTCTCTCTCTCCCTCTTCGCTTTCCCTGTCCTTTCTGCTTCTTCCAGGACACGTGTATTTTCTCTCTCGCCTTCACTTTCATAATAAACAAAACAGATATTATTTTTTGTCTCAAGTACAAAAATATTTATCTTGATGCACAAACCACTAGAAAAAAAACTACGTGTGTGTGTGTGTGTGTGTGTGTGTGTGTGTGTGTGTGTGTGTGTGTGTGTGTGTGTGTGTGTGTGTGTGTGTGTGTGTGTGTGTGTTTGCAAGCATACTTGTATATGAACATACGCCACCGGTTTTACATGTGAGAAAGGAGAGTGAGAGTTAGGAATGAACTATGTGACTCGTGTTGTAGAGACACAAGGGAGCTGCCATTTTTTAAAATAACTCGACGATTTTTTTTTTATTTCCACGGGATTTTTACTATAAGAATAAAGGAAAAAAGAAAAAGATCTACTCTCTCTTATCTACCGCTGCTTGGGTCTTACTGTCCTTCATTATTAGAAGGATCCTCATATAAGAAATGAAGAAAAAACAAAATCGAGAGAAAACTAAAAAAAAATCGAAAAAAGGATGAACTCGTATGGCAACATCAGGTGAATGAATCGCGTAGTTCTTGGTTGGATGAGGGGAGGGGGGGGGAGGGGGTGAAGGGAGGAGATGAGGAGTCATAAATTTGGTGTTCTTTCAGAATATCACGAAAGAAACGGACAAGAAAAAAAATAGGAAATTTACACATTTTCACCGGATATTACACCAGTGACGCTCAGATATCCGTATGAATATCACAGAATCTGATTTCCGTTCTAGTGAGAAAAACATCTTATATGAGAAAGTCCCATTGCGAAAGTCACTTAGGAAAAAAATAAAACAGAATATCTAAGAAAATGACACATCGCACATGAAGGATAAAGGATAAATATGGCAACACAGCCGAGTAAAAGCGCGGGAAACTCAACTCCCGGAAGATGGGGGTTGGGTTTTACGGGGAGGGGGGGGGGGAGGATGGACTGGGGGATACGAGGGGAGGAGAGGAGGGTGTGGGGTGTGAATGGGGTGGGGAGAAGGGAAGGGAAGGGAAGGGGGAAGAGGGTGGGGTTGAGTATCACTTGTGCCAACTAGTGAATAAACCAAACCATAAAACGGCCGATTTTTAACGGAAACCCACACATTTAATAACTTCAAAACTACTTTTTAAAAAACACAAAACACGCCCACAAAGCCCCCCATAAAACGGTCGAATTACAACCGCACAAAGACTAATAAAAAGAGCCCCATTAAATGAGCATTAAAAAAATTGTTCGAAAGTGGAAGCCGCCATGACAGAAAAGACCGGAAAGAGTGACGTAGAGAAGGCGAGACAAATGTGAGCTTGCCGACGGCGCGTATTTTGAAGGTGTGATGTGGAACGTTCAATGTCTTCCTCCTCTTCCCTTCCTCGCCCCTCTGCTTGTTCGGGTAAATGGATAAATGGCCGGAAAAACCGATGAAGGAGGAGAGGATAGGAGGGAGGACACAACTGCACGCACGCACACCCTTGAAATCTTAAAAAAGGAAGGAAAAAAATTGCGCCATCACAAACCGACTCAATTGCCACCGCCTCCCTTTCTCCGTCTTTCTCACCGTCCATCTTTCTGTCTCTCTTACCACCCCCCTTTCTCTGTCTCACTCACCGCCTCTTTCTGTCTCTCTCACCATCTCTCTTCATGCTAATTCCTTTCTCTTACTCTCTCATCGTCTCCCTTTCTCTCTCTCTCACCGTCTCTTTCTCTCTCTTCTCTCTCCTCTCTCATCTCTCTCTCTCTTCTCTCTCTCCTCTCTCTCTCTCTCTCTCTCTCTCTCTTCTCCTCTCTCTCTCTCTCTCTCTCTCTCTCTCTCTCTCTCTCTCTCTCTCTCTCTCCTCTCTCCTCTCTCTCCTCTCTTCTCTCTCTCTCTCTCTCTCTCTCTCTCTCTCTCTCTCATCTCTCTCTCTCTCTCATCTCCCCTCTCTC